TATATATACCACAAATATCTTTTCAACGGATGAATCAATGTCACCCATACTTCGCACTTCGCACAGCAGTTTGTATCAATTTGTCTTAACTTAATCATATTTTTCTACAACAGTTGAGGCTAGATTTTAAAAACTTTTCTTCATAAATTTATATAAAAAGCTACAAACCTCCTTTATGCGGAAAAATGGAATTATTGTTCTCTCACACATTTTGTGTACGCATATGGCCTATGTCACAGCTCGCCAATGACACTTTTTAGTCGCAAAGCTTGTTACCAGAAACTAACTTTATAGTGAACACTTTTTTGCACTAAAAGTTCTCCAAACATGCGTTCAATAAAGATGATCTTGCGATTAGAAAAAAATGACGGACTTGCTTTTAAACGCGAGATCGTCCCCGCTGTAAACCTTTTAAAATCAGTCAAAAGAACCCACTAGGATTTTATTTAGATTTGATTAAGGAATTTTCTAGATTAGAGCCAACAGGTCTTTAGAAAAATACTCATCTGTTATGAAAAATTGATACAAGTCACTGTATCCGTCTCTGGAGAGTTTATCTTCGATTTTTGAGGAGATATTTGACAATACGTTGCGCCACGAAGTTTTGACCGCACTAATATGATTTTAGCCCTATCCGTACGTCGTGTTTTACTATCGTATCCATACGATGTGGGAAACTCTGTGCCACCACTTTCCCAAGAGGAAATTTACTTGTTAATCCGATCCGTACGCTTTGCATAGCAGTCTGTCTAAAAAAAGAAAGTTTCAAAGAGATCTTCGTACCAGAAGTATTCTAAAATGTGAAGAATACAACCCCGGGGACACAAAATGACCCCAGGGCGTACGAATAGGATAAGTAAGTGTAAGGGTTTAACACCTCTATCAACTCTATTAGGTAACCGAAAAAGCTGTGAGCTCCGAATGCTGTATCCGTCTCTGAAAAGTAAGACCTTGCCAATTAAGGGGTTGACAACTTTGACCCCCCCCCTCCCCACCACATCCCACATAACATGACGACCTGAGCTCAAGATCACCCAGTCTGGGATTTAAACCAAAGCCAGTGGGTGGTTGGAGGGTGCTTTGGTGTGGTTTGCTTCTTCTTTCCTATCAAACATCTATTTATAATAAGGCATCGAGGTGGAATCAGGCTCTCATCAATTTTTGGGCATGAGGAGTTATTGGTATCATCTTAAAGCTTGTTCACTTGCCTTTATTTGGGGTGAAAAAAATATAAATGTATCTTGAATAAAAGTCGAGATATTTGCGAATGAAGGAGGCGGGGGTCACCTGTTTTCAGAAGTAAATTAGTGGAAAAAATGGCCGCCAAAGATTAGATATTTCCTTAGCTTAAGAGTCCACGGTAACTGAAAAGTTACAATTTTTGATCCTTTAATCAATGTTTTTCAGAAAATTCCACCCAGAAATGAGTTCTTTAATGGGCATGAAAGGTGTTGAGCCAAAAAACAAAAATTTGACAAGTTTCTTCACCCTTGATTATTTTGACGAGAGTTTGATTCCACCACGTTGCCTCACCTATGGTCTTTTTCTCCCCTCTTTCTCTTTTGTGTTTGTTACCCTCTTGTAACACCTCTAATCTTCGAAACTGCTATGACCTTATTGCGTTGCAAGTGCCGTAAAACACTTACTAAAACTAAATTAAAAACAAAGGCCACACACTCCGTAAACCGGCGTGGTACCGGCCGACTGAGCTAACAAAGGTTACTTTAATTTCACTTTTATCCGCCGCTTATACCCTTTTGTGTGTGACTGGAAGAAAGAGACGTCGTTCTGCCTCCAGCCGGAGAGCTTAGGTCAGGGGGATGCCGTGAGTTGTTAGCGTTTCTCAGACTTCATCTATCCAGGTCTTTCTCGGTCGCCCTCTAGCCTTGTTGTCATTGAATATTTCTAATGTAGGCACGTTGTGCTAACAAAGCGTTGCCCATAGTTCTCAAAGAGAGTCCACCATCTACCAGCTCTTTGATTAGGAAGTGGGAGGGTTAGGGGGAGGGGGAGGGGGAGCTGAGAGGGGTCGATATATCCCTGTAAAGATTCTGTTTTAAGAACTCTTTAAGTTGGATGACGGCATTGCTCCCTCCAGATGAGCTGCAAATCTACTGGCATGAACTAAAATAGGGAGTGCGTATGGTGTTTCGTTTGGATGTAACTAGAGCTATGGGGAGCGGGCATGGGGCTCAGATTGTTCATGTAAACGGGGCTCGCCGGCCATGCCATTGAAAGCAAAAAGATCCCCACGTCTGACACGTGTGTGACGTCACTGCCACGAGCTCAGCGACTGTTTAGATGACCTCTTTGTCTGCGTGCAGTCTTGCTACATATGACAAAAGGCAACAGATCGCCGGCTTAGTGCCATCTCGTAAACATAACAAAAGGAAACACATCGCAGACTTAGCGCTATCGAATACTCACTCCATGTTTTACCCCGTTGTGAAATAATATAAATAACTTTTAAAATATAAATCTCCAGTCGTGATATCGAGAGTTTTCAGTGTGTTTGTTTTTTGTTCTTTTGTAAGTGTTTTACGGCGCTCACAACTGTATAAGGTCATATCAGCACGCGGGACACATGTGAACATTTTCCGTTGGTAGGAAATTTTGAATTTTGCCCGGGTGGAGGCCGAAGTCTACTCTTATCGATTTTGGACAACAAGGGATCTTTAACGTGCGCAATTTGTACACGGGAACTCCGACATTTTTCGCCCTTGTCCGAGAAGGCTAGGTGTAGGTCTTTCCTACCAGAAGATCAGGGGTGTGGCGGAAAGACAGCAGTAAGGAGGAGCCAAGGAGTAGCAGTAGAAAGGCTACAGAAAGAGTCAGGAGCCCAGAGGAGGGGGCAAAGGAGGTGAGGGGGTGGGGGCAGAGAGTGGAGAGGAAAGCACAAATAATAGAGAGCAGGAAAAGAGGTGAAAGGAGACAATTTTAGAGAACAAAAATATTTTTGTCGCAACCTGGATTCATACCCGGGACTTTTGAATGAAAGGCTAACACCTTAACCTCTAGACCACGAGAACCCCTAAATCGAGAGTGAGTGCAAATTTTCACAGAAAGTCTACACAACATGGGCATCACAGGTAATGACCTCGTGCTGTAAGGGAAGCCCAGTCAATAGCATTGGAGGCGGTGACATTTCAGTTTAAATCTAGTATAAGTTTTACGGCACTTGCAACACAATTAGGTTTTATATAAGCGCCAAAGATTAGAGGTGTTACATGAGACGAGAGCAGTTTTTAGATGAGGTTTAACGGCACTCGCAACTGCATAAAGTCATATGAGCGCCAGGAGATTAGAGGTGTTACAAGAGAGTAACAAACATAAAAAAGAAGAAGGGGAGATAAGGACGATAGATGTTTGATAGGAAAGATAAATGTTAAGATAGGAAAGAAGAAGAAAACCACACCAGAGCACCCACCAACCACCCGCCGTAAGTCCCAGAGCTTCCCCACTCACCAAAAGCCGTGAATCTCCCTGCGTAGGGCCCGTCCACCACATCCCCGTTCTCTCTGGCCAGAGCCTTGATGTACTCCTCACTCAGCTGAACGATCTCCGCCTGAGGACACACACACAGACAATGGATGAGGTTATGTTTTGAAGAAAAAAAAAGAAATAATAACAACAACAACAACAACAACAACAGCAATAACATACGTGTATACAGTGTATATACAACAACAACAACAACAACAACAACAACAACAACAACAACAACAACAACAACAACAACAACAACAACAACAACAACTTAGTTTTAGTAAGAGTTTTACGGCACTTGATGTTTGATAGGAAAGAAGGAGCAAACCACGCGAGAGCACCTGCCAACCACCCACGTGTACACAATAACAACAACAACATAGGTGTACACAGCAACAACAACGACGGCGACGACTACTTTTTTAGTAAGAGTTTTACGGCCCTTGCGACAACACAATAAGGTCATATAAGTGGCGAAGATTAGAGGTGTTACAAGAGAGTAACAAACACAATAAGGTCATATAAGTGGCGAAGATTAGAGGTGTTACAAGAGAGTAACAAAAACGTACAGAAGGAGGGGAGATAAAGAGGATGGAAGTTTGAAAGGAAAGAAGAAGCAAACCACACCAGAGCAAAAGCCAACCAACCACGACGACGACGACAATAACAACAACAGCAACAACAACTACAACAACAACATACTTGTACACAACAACAACAACAATAACGACGACGACGACGACGACGACAACTTGCGTGTACAGCAAGGAGGTTATACATAGTGTAAGGTCATTGGTGTATTTTACAGCTAAAATAAAAGGAAATGTCTTCAAGGTCTGTGGTAGTTTTTTTAGTTTTAGTAGAAATTTTACGGCGCTCGCAACTGCATAAGGTCATAGGAGAGCCAAAGGGGTGGATGTTAACAGAGAAGTCCTCACAGGGAATCAGACTTACTCTGCTCACCTCTCTAGCTTCAACAGCATAAAGTCTGCTTCAACTATCAAGGCACCCCGGAAAAAGCGGGTCACAAGAGAGTGACAAACATACAAAAGAAGTAGAGGAAAATGACAATAGTAAGGATTAAGAAAGAAAAAGCAGCATTTCCCAGTTGTAGATCAGGCACAGTTATGAGCGTGACATGAGTCAGCCCATTTACAATTCTACTGTGCTTGAACGAGAAATGTCCCCCCTTTGGGAATGGCCTAAAGACACTACAGTCGGTGGCACTGCCCCCGGGGGGAAGTCGCAGGCTTTGAGAAAAGAGTACTCTATCGTCATGATAACAGTCGTACTCCATGGCTCATTCTTACTGCTGTCTATCAGCCACACCATGATTGATCGATTGAGTAGGTGTTTTACGGCACTATCTACTCAATTTTGGTCTTTCAGCCACACCCCTGATCTTAGGGTAGGAAAGGTCGAAAACATAGCCTTCTCGGCTAAAGGCGAAAAATCACGGAGAACCCTTGTACAAGTTGCACACGTTAAAGATTCCTTGTGGTCCTAAAATCGATAAGAGTAGGCTTCGGTCGCCAACATTCAAAATTAATTCCTACCAAACTTTAAATGCTTAGTGTGTCCCTCGCGCTCATATGACCTAATAAAGTTGCCAACGCCGTAAAACACTGACACCCCCCCCCCCAAAAAAAAACCCAAAACCAACAAAAACCAACAGTCCAGAAACCTTCCCAACAGAACAGACAGTCCCCAAGTTCTGGAGCGCCTTCTGCAACAATCAATAAAGGAATTTCTTCCGTGACCTCAGCCACGCTCCGCCAACATTGTGGTTACAGAAATCTGCAGGCTGTCAAATTACGGGGGCAATCAGCGGAAACTACTGGTTGTCGGCATTTTCTAAAAATATAACTACCTCTCCTGGAGGGGGGGGGGAGGGAGAGAATCCGTATCTGGAAGCCTTGCACGAGAATGCCTCCTCCTCCTCCTCCTCCTCCTCACGGCATCTGCAACACAATTAATTAGGTCGTACGTACAGGTGTGTTGGGTTTTTGTAACAGTTTTACGGCACTTGCAACACAATAAGGTCATATGAGCGCCAGAAGATTAGAGGTGTTACAAGAGAGTAACAAACACAAAGAAGAAGGGGAGATATAAAGACGGTAGATGTTTGATAGGAAAGAAGAAGCAAACCACACCAGAGCACCTACCAACCACCCACGTACAGATTTCCAATGGGAAGAAGGAAACAAACCACAGCAGAGCACACACACCCCTC